CTAACTAGGATGAATACGCTAACTATGGATATGATACCGAAAATAGACCGATTTCATATTTCGTAGCATCGTCGTTCTGGAAAATGAATTTGGACCAACGAAGGACAGAGGGAGAGGGATGTGGCGATGAAAAAGAGGAGACAAAGCAATTAATATGAGAAGAGGGGTTAAGTTTTAATATCCCCTCCTCGCAACAAACTTCAAAGCAACAACCTATTCTCGTCCTTATTAACTAATCTAAGTAATTAAACATTCATACACTTATTACAAAAAAAAAAACATTCATACACCAACTTAAATAAATATTAACACTAATTGTTAATTTCTATTAACTAATTAAGTAATTTTTTATTGACTAATTAATTAACATATTAAATTAAATTAAATGCAAAAACCGGTCGGGCCGAAAAAAACTGCGGGCGATGCGTCGCCGGGCCGAAAGTGTTTGCGGTCAGTGCGCCGCCGGGCAGAAAATATTTTGCGGCAGGTGCGACGCCCAGCCGAAAATCTCTTTCAGCCCCGACGTCGCCCCGACCGCAAAATTTTTTCGGCCGGCCGACAAACACCGAAAAAATTTTGGCCGCCGTGTTCGGCGACCGGCTGAAAAATATTTGCGGCCGCGGCGCCACCGGGCGAAAGAAATTCTCGTCTAGCTTCACGCCTGGCCGAAAAATACTTTCGGCTCAGCGGCGTTCCGGCCGTAATTTTTTTCGGCCCGTCGTGTTTTTCGCCGGAACACTGGAAAACTTGCCGGAAAATTAGAAAACTTGCCGGAAAAAGTAAACTTACTTGTTTTTCGTCGATTGAGGGCGACGGGAGGTTGGCCGGCGACGGAGGCACTTGGCTAGTCGACAGAAGTTTTTGTTGGAATGAGTCAAATGTTAATGGTATCCGAATTTATAGAATGAAAAGAAGGGTAAATTCAAAATTTGAATTCATTTTTTTTTTTCAGTTTGCGGCAAATAGCAATTTGGTTGGCGACAAATAGCCGTTCACCTTCCGAATTTGGTGAAAGAAGAAGACTCCTTGTACCTGAAAAAATAAGAAATTCTATCACATTCTTAGTCCTAATTTCTATAGATATGTAACCAGCAAGTGAATTAGAGGCTCATGTAATTTGATTTTGAATGAGCTTAATTTCATTTTTTTCGGTAGTCTATGGGAAGAATTGAATAAAATACGGAAACTTAAAATGGATTCAATATGATTGAATATATAGATCTTACCGAGCAACTTACCACAGATTCCACCATCTCATTAAGTGATAATTCCGGATCGGTATTTACCCTTTGATGAATGAATTCTGATCGCTTCTTACCCATAGATGAATAATAACACTAAAAATCAAACAGATGGCAAAAGAGGTAAACAAGAATAATGAATAGAAATATGATGATCGAATGATTCCAAGTCGCATAGATTGAAGGGTGGGACTAAAGTGAAAGAGTTGCTTGAAGCAGAAATCAAAGATTCATAGGAGGTGACGACGATTTCGCTTGCTAGGTGAACTGAATTTTTGGAGGTGTATGAGAACTTATTCTATGTATCTTGGAATCACAATGAGAGATAGAAAACAAAGAACATATATTGTTTGAGAGGGGAAATGCTTACTGCTCACAACTCAAGCGGCGTCGGAAGTTAAAGAATAAAAAGTAAAAACCCTAACTAACATGGAAAGTTGTGATATATCATATGGCAAGGGGACTTAACGGAGAAAATATATATTCAATATTTTATGAGATTTACCTTCCCTCGAGATCTTAGTGATAGGGTTAGGCGTAGGGATGGCAATCAAACCCATGCCCACGGGTATTCGATCGTCCCCGACCCAGTTAACGCGGGAAATCTCCGCTTTGACTGGGTATGGGGCGGGTATGGGTAAAACCCGTAAAATGTTTGATGGGTACGGGGCGTGTATGGTTTTAGCCTCTCCCGCCCCATACCCGCCCCACCAAGAATATTTGTTCACATATAAAAAATACATGGATGAAATAGTAATCTATCAATGATAGTGAGGGTAAATAAAATAATAATTAGTAAAAATGCAATTGAGTGGTCACCCAAATCAAAACCTAATTCATTTTCCTCAACTCTCTCTCCACTCTTTCACTTTTTCCTCATCTTAGCAAGATTATATTAGTTCATTATTGGTTAGTATATGTATTAGAGTCAGATAAATAATGATTTGGATTACATTGTACTACTCTATTTTATGGATTAAGGGAAATTTTAGGATAAAATGCTTTGAACCATATTAAGAATTATTGTCACTTTCTCGACTTCATGATATAATAGGTGCCTTTAATGCTATAATTGAAAATTTACATATAAAATTTTATGTATTATAATGTTGGATGTAAGGGGCGGGTATTACCCATGGGTACCCGAAACCCACAGGTATGGGGATGGGTTTGCAAAATCTTCCCCCGCATGCGTATGGGGCGGGTAGGGGTTTGGATATTTGAAAGTGGGGATGGGGATGGTTTAGGCAAACCCGCCCCATTGCCATCCCTAATTAGGCGGGACAATAAAAGTCAATATTTCTCCCCCTCCCCTAAAATATATAAATTTGCAACACTATTAGGCAAAGCGTTGCAAAAAATATATAAATTTATAACACAATAAGTGTTGCATAACATATGCAAATGCATCTAATATTTTGTAGTGTGTTGCGTAAACTATCAAATACGCAACTCCAAAAAATAAGTGTTGCTATTATATATTTAACGCAACACTTTTAAATAGTATTGCGATTCAAGTGTTGCAATAAGTCATTTTTCCGTAGTATCACCTGCCAAGCAAGAAGAAGAAGGAGAAGAGAATGAATCTCCGGCCAAACATTTCAGAGGAAACCACATAACTAGGCCAGTCATCGTGCGTGTTTTGTTACATGGGCATCATCAGACGTGAGTTTCACCGGACCCTGAAACTAGTCTGCAGGAAAACATAACTCCATTATCGATAATCTTATGATAGCAAAGAGGAGAAACAGAACCATGAACTTCTAATTTCTGACCCTGTTTCTTCACCGGAAACTCTCAATTGTAACTCGTTACTTGTGAGACATAATAAGAAGAAGACAAGAAGTATGCGTAACTCCATTTTGGGATAGACAAAAAGGCCTTGTGAGTCTGATCTCTTAAGCGGAGATCAGTTTCATCAGCTAGTTCTTCCATCCATTATCAACGCCTGGACAAGTATATTCGTCTTCGACTTTAATTTCGAAATTTTATGACCCAATCAAATTTGGTTTCGTAATCAGATTTTGGTACATTTTCAATTATGAAACGAATTAATTAAGTTACCTCATATCTATTACTATGGCTTAGATTTTCCAGACGTGTAGCAAGGGGTTAAACCCATGCTATAATCCTTGCAGGGGACATGCACCAAGGGTTGTCCAAAACCCTTGCTATATGTAACAGGGACAGCTTTGTCAAGGGTTCATCAAAGGGTTGTTCAAACCTTGCTACAGATGAAAATAACCCTTGGCCCAAGTCTTTTTTTTTTGTAGTGCGGCCATTTTCACCTTTTTCAGGGTGATCATCAGTGTCAATCAATATTAATATCGTTTATGTTTTTTTAAATAGATGGTCGAGATTGGGTAATGAGTTGCTTTGAAAACAAAAAATGTTATCACACGTGATATATCTCTCCTTTCCATTTATGATATCAATTAAACGGATTTCATTTCTCCTCCTCTGGCTCAAGATAGGTTCAGTAGCCATTGGTTACTCATCGATGAATAATTAAATCTGGACCTTTAGATTTAAGTGGACCCATAAAATTCAGATCTAACGATTGTGAATTAAAGACATTTTATTTTCCCTAATTTTCTTAATAGGCTCTTATCTTCCTTGTTCTAACTCAGATTTCAATTATTTTTTGCACCGAAGGAAAGAGTTCATCATGATCTATTAGATCTACAAATTTTTGGGTGAAAAAATACAGGACAAAAAATATCATACTATACCACCATGGTTTTGGGTTGGTAACTTGTGGTACACAATGATGAAAGTCGTAAATGACAGTTAGTATACTCATACTATCATTTATTCAACCATCCTACAGTCTTGGTATGTTCATACTATCATGGTACGCTTTCATACCATATGGTATGCTCTTATTTAATACCACTTAATACCATATGGTATAGACTCGTAAAAAATGTCTCGATGTTTTTTGTTCTAAAAATATATCAAAGTGAATATCATTTTGAATAGCACAATTATTCTGATTTATCTGTGCAAAAAAATCAAATTCCGACTTAAAACGAGAGAGAAATCGTTCGTTAAAGATTAAAGAGGAAAATATTAAAGGTTTTCCATAAGAAACAAGACACTGATGTCACGATGATATGGACAGATTACTCACATTTATTGATTCTAAAATTACTAACCCGATCCTCTCTCTGTCCATCCTACTACACACTTTCCTTCTATTATCCCAGGCGACAACAATGGCCACTCCTCTACTAATTGATGTAATCCCATGTACTATACAGACTTTAGCCCATGTAGTGGAAGTAGAATATCTTGTAATCGTAGAGACCATGCCCATGTATAGCTCGCCTGCCACCTAGGGTTTATGGTGTGCATATATATATATATATATATATACTACTTATAACATTGGAGAAGATAACGGGATAAGAGGAGTTGTTCCGTGCACCAGTCGGTATTGCATCCTGTAATACTAGAAACCACATAAACTGTTGTACATTTAAGTTTATATTTAGATCCTAGTCGAGTTGTTAGTATGGTATCAGGGCTTATGGATTCCAATTAGGGATGGCAATTTACCCACCCATGTGTATTTTTGCCCAAACCCAATTATATCCATTTATATGGGTTGGGTATGGATTTATTCTATATGGATTTGGATAAGATTTGGGTAGATGGAGTTGGGTTTGGATTTTATTTTTGGGTATGGATTGGGCTTGGGTACCCATCTCCTTGGACCTGCCTGTATATGTTTTTTTATTAGGTGTTAAAATGTAAAGCGAAATTTTTAATGTATTAAAATGTAATTTTCCACATATGATGTTGGACCTATTTGTATCTTCTTAACAACTTCAGGTACTAAAGTGTAACTTTGGCTGTCAGCGACCATCGTGTTCCAGGCTTCCAGATCTTCGTCGGCGGCTTCGACGATGCCGAACGCCGGTGCCTCCGCTTTCGACTGACCGGCGAGGACGATGGATCAGGATCGATTCGACATTGCTGCCTCCGACCACAACCGGCCCACCATCGAGCGGTTCGTCGTGTTCGACCTCGCCATCGGGAATGACGAACTTGCTGCCTCCGATCCGGGTTCGGACGCGGTCGATTCGGATCTCCAGGGTTTCGGAGAAGGAGCTAGAGGCCCGGCGGCGGTGGGGGTGATGGATCAGGATCAATTCGGGTACCATCAGGAATTGGGTCCAGTCTGGTCTCCCACCCGACGAGCCCCATCTCGACAAATACACCGGTGACCCCCCCACCACCGATGAGGGCAGATGGAATGTTCGACCCCAGCTCCCTCAAGCTCAGACTTCTCAGCTGCTGCTTCTCCCGCTGAGCCAGCAACGAAATCCGAGCGCTCATTGGCGAAATGGGCTCCACTACTTTGCGTGGCGACGATATCTGCAACAGCGCAGCGGGGTGATCAACCACGCTCCTTGGGGAGAAGCTGGTGTTGATGGGAGACAACATGCTCTGCTGCTGCTGGAACTGATGATTCAAAACCGATGGCTTGTGGGTCTGGGAGAAGACCATTCCTTGATCGGCATAGCGAGGAGAGTAGTGTCATTCACATTGCTGTAGTAATGCCCACTCATCTGGTGATGGAATTGCCTTTGCTGCGACATGATCACCACTGCTATCTATCAACCAAATTCTTCTTCTTCTTCCCCCTCCAATCTATGATTCAGTTCTTTACTTTTGATTCTATGATTCTTGTATTCATTCTATCCAAAATATTGCTGCTAACACACCTCAAGTGCAGCCTCCTTCCTCTGCTTTTACTGTTGCTTCAGTTGATGAGTAGAGAGATTTCTGAATTCTAATTGATTGAAGGGTACATCAATCTTCCTACAACAGAACTACTTGAGTTTCTAAATTCGGATGCTGCCATACACACCAGCAGCCTTATGGAAACCGAGATATGAGATTACAAAATTGCAGAAGCTGATTCCGTTCTTAATCAAAGTAGAGGGCTTGGTAAGATTACAAAATTGCAGAAACTATCAACAAATCACCCCAAAGGGCACCTGAAACTATCAACCATTTCAAACCATTGAATCCAACACTGTGCTTACAACTCTTTCAAAGCTTGTTTATAAGGGAAGGGTATTACAAAGGAACACACACTACCGCAAGACAGAGTATTACAGAGGAACCCAACAACAGAAATGAGATACTTTGTTTTGAGTTTTGAACATAACTTCACTACATAATCAAATCAAACAAACTCCCAGATTCTTTCTCAGTCCTCATATTCCATAACTTGTTCATCATCACCGCCATCATTCTCACATAATATGGTTTGAGTCGAACCATCAACATCAGGAGAGAAAATGGCTACACCTGCAAAATAATGAATAACATACTCAATCATCAAGTAGAAAGCCAGTAGCTAGTAAATAATGCACCAAACCAGGAAACCAACATATAACAATGAAAATCATCCAATAATGAATAACAGCAACAACAAGTTGTTTCTTACCATGAAGTTCATTCCTAAGCCAGTTCTGGGTGCACATAAGAGCCTCCATAGTCGTGTCATCAAGGCGGCTACGATGAGGGTTCAATAATCTTTCACTTGTAATGTAGACTCTGAGACAACTGTTGACACTGGAATGGCTAGAATGTCCTTAGCAATCAGCCTTAAGGTTGGATATTGTAGGCCATGGTTCTTCCACCTAGATAAAATGTCGAACTCTTCGCTTCTTGGGATCACACCATCTCGCAAGTATTTGTCAAACTCTTCTTTAACATTCCAATTAGATCTAGTAGTACCAACAAAAGAATCAAAGCTGGCAAGAAACCCAAAACTTGCATGTTGATGTGGCGACGAAGAAGAAGAAGAATCCATGCTAGGTTCTGCAGTCTTGTACTCACTCATAAGATCATAACAAAAGTCTCAAATCCTATTAAAATGAAAGGTAGATGTGCCAACATAAATCTTGGGAAAGGCCCACTCTAATAGCTTCATCTTGAACCTAGGATCCAATATAGCTGCAACAGCCAAAGTTCCATGGATAACCTCCCAATACCTATTGAATTTATCCAAGATCTCTCCAGCCATGGTTGCAATAGTTACATTTGGACTCAACTGCCACTCGTTTAGAGCTATTTAGCAACAACGTATCTTCTTGAAATTTTCCTAAAAGAGCTCTAATCATAGCATCATTAGTACTGCAATTATCCACGGTCACTGTTGAAATTTTTCTCTCAATGTTCCATTCCGTCATAGAACTCAATAATACAACACATAGAACATCCTTGGTATGTGGAGAATGAACGTGGATAAAACTCAAAATCTTACTCTGAAGGACCCAAGCATCATCAATAAAGTGACCAGTTACTACCATGAACCCTCTTTTCCTGTTATTCGAAGTCCGCATATCAGTGGTAATCGCCACCCTACTGCTGACTTTTTTCTAACTCATGCATTACATTCATCTTTGCCTTTTTGAATATCTTTAAAATATCACTCCTGATTGTATTTCTACAAACCATTTGAAACAACGGTTGAAGAGAATACACAAACCTCCTAAGCCCAACATAATCGACAACCGATAGAGGAAATTCATGAAGAACAATCATATAAGCAAGCTCCCTTCTACTAGTTTCTTGGTAAAAACAACCGGACTCGAACTTCCAATACCAATTTTTCTTTTCTTACTACCCAAAAGTCCACTCAGCATGACTGGATTAGCATTTTTTACTGGACATTTAAACAAATGATTGCTCAAATGAGAAGTTCCAGAGTTGGATTCAGCAGCAAGCTTTCTATGACAGTATTTGCATTCAGCTTTTCTCAGCCCACTAATTACAACTCGATCATAATCCTTCCACACATCAAACCAATGCTTCTCAGAAGACCATACCATACGACTAGAAGACACACTAGGTTGTCCATGATTACTACTCTCATGATTCATAGATAGACTATCATCATTAGCTTCTGAAGCCATGTTTCCCTAGAAAAATCAAGCAAGCAACAAACAATCATTCAAACTAGCTGCAACAACACAATTATTCAACCAAATAAGAATAGTACACCTTTCTCAATACAATATTGCCTCCCATCTATTAACAAATAGGACCTGGGTTCACAAGCAGGAAACATAAACTCATAAGGTGTAAATGCAGGGGTTACTATGGCCATTAGATTAGATTATCATACAAATAGGACCTGGGTTTTGCAACCCAGAAAACAGGACTACTAGAAGACAAAATGACAGGGGAACGTGATGGAAAACTAGTTGAAAAGGAAAGGTATAAACAGAATCAAAATGAGTGTTTTCAAGCAAAACCAAGCAAAACAGAGTTCAGCAACCAAACAAGCAGCAAACGTTGGACACGTTCAGCAACCAAACAAGCAGCAAACGTTGCCAATCACGTTTTCCATTAACATTAAAATTTCATTCAAGCTAAAAACCAATCACAGTTCATACCCAATTCACAACTAAGACCCATTCAGAAACCCTATCCCCTGAATAAATCCTCTGAACAGAGTTCATAAGACCCAGTTCAAAAACATAGGGTAAGATGAACAATACCTGGAGCATGTCGGAGTGGGCTTCTCGTGGTCTCGAGATTGAAAGGGAGAGAACGAGCAGGTGATTCGCGAAGTTGTTGGCGATCTTGTGAGGGCGGGCGACCAGACCCTCTTGTTCTCTGGAATCCCACCGATTGACAAAAGAGAAAACGGGTTCCCCGAGATCGGGAGGGAGAGGAAGAACCGGCGAATCGCGAAACCGCCAGCGGTGTTGAGGGGGTGGGCGATGAGGCAAAGCGACCAGATGCCCACACCCTCTTGTTCTTCGGAATGCGACCGATCGAAAGGGATAGGAGGAGCTGGAGAGTCGCGAAGCCGTCGGCGATATTGAGGAAGCCGACGATGGTTGCTCCCCGGAATCCGATCGATCTGAGAAGTGAGAAGGGTCGAAGGGAAAACTGGAGGTCTGACGTCTCGAGATCGAGAGTGATAGGAAGAGCTGGCCGTGGGCGATGTTTATTTTCCTTTTCGTTTAATTACTTGGGCTTGGGTTTTTTAACCCAAATCCATGGGTAAAACCCAGCTGGATCGAACATTATGGGTATGGGTGTTGACCCATTAGACTATACCCATTTATATTTGACTTGGATTTCAGACCTAACCCTCTTGGTTTGGATATTTATAATCCAACGGGCATGGGTAAATCTGACATCCTTAATTCCAATTGCGTTTACGTTCGTTTGGATGTTAGCAACTTCGCTGTTTGGGAATTTCAGTGTCGGATTTCCGTTATGGGCAAAGGGCTTCTAACCCTTTTGTATGGTAGCAATCCGCAGCCTACCTTTCCCTCGGCTTCTGCCCAATATTTGAACACTTGAATGCTGAATAACGCAAAAGTGATGACATGGCTTTTGAAGTCGGTCAATCTGTCCTTGATTCTGGGCCTTTGTTCCTTTATGACGGCTGCTGCTATGTGGGAGTGAGATCATCTCTACAAGACGTATTCCAAGATGAATTATGCTCATTTAGTTTGAGGTTGAGTTTAAGCTCGCCAAGCTATTTCAAGGAGATAAGATTATCACTACTTACTACAGCTTCGCACACACCCTGTGGATGAGCCAATTCACTTTCTGATGCGTCTTCATCTAGAATATGAGGGCTTCTCCACAGAATCGGGATAAGCTAATTGTGGAAGACGCTCTCGGTTATCTGGTATGTGAAGAGACAAGGATGTGAACGCAAGCCCAGCTTGATGTTCGTCGTCCGGGGTGGGAAAGTCACCTTCGCTGTGAATAGCTTGGAAAAGCTATAAATAAAATTCTTAATTAATTATCCAGTATTTTCCCATAATACGAAATTAAGATGGATAATTTATAAAAGGAATATTATGGAGATAATTAGGATTAATTATCTTTATAGATTATATTTTAATTATGAGATTAATTATCTTCCTAATTAAAATATGACTTATTCCCAAAGAAAGAGGGAATATTCTAGGTTTTGTGCTCCTATAAATAGCAATCCCCTAGACCCTCTAAATACACCTCAGAATAGCAAAAACACGAGAGAGAGAGAGAGAGAGAGAGAGAGAGAGAGAGAGAGAGAGAGAGAGAGAGAGAGAGAGAGAGAGAGAGAGAGAGAGAGAGAGTGAGATTCAAAGAGCTCCGGTTTTCCGCACAAAACCGCTTAGCAAATCAAAAGAGTGGTTGTTTTATCCTGGAGGCGACCAACTGATAGTCTGTTGTGCGAATAATGAGGCAGTGCCGCGAACGTCTTGAAGAGAGCGACCTAGTCCGCGACTCAGCCAGATCGGTAACCCTAAATTTTCTGTTCGGTTTCTAACAATTTTAAGACGTTGTGGCTGCTATCATATAAATCAAACAAGATACCGATTCTGGACTCAATAATCTCGACCGCTGCGCCAAGTGAAAATAAGTCCTCCTTCGGAAATTTGCATATCATTGGACAGTGGCAGCCTGATGCGGATGAATTAACTCCGCACACTACAAATCGACACCACGGTTTCACCCAAAGCACGAAGCAGCAGGAAGCATGACCGACTGTGATACGAAAAAAGGGAGTAAATTTGTTCCCTTCAATTCCGTCTCGGGCTAATATGTTACTCTCGTCAAATTAATTGTACTTCTTATCCCAACATTGTTTTGCCCCCTCGCTGAGGGAGAAACGCAGGTGGAGGTGGCTCCTGCTTATTGTATATAAAAAAAGAGGAGGTTCCTTCTTAAGGCGTTGCCTTTAAACCAAGAGAAGCTGACTTGGTGGAGTGCTTGAACGAAAGGAAGTTTGTAAAAAAGCTAGCGGAGGCATGATCATTATGGTTAAAGGAAGTTTAATCTATTTTGTTATGTCTTTCCCTTCGTGGGTGTTGTTATTGTTTATACTAATGTGCATAATTTTAGTGGAGCCTCCTAGCCGGGAGCAGATCCGGTGAATACCCTTGTGATGAGTAACCTCATGCATAACCCAATAAGAATCTGCCACATCAGCGCCTCCTTCTCTCTCCTGAAAAAATCATTAATTTTCTTTCCTTTAATCTTTAACGGACGATTTCTCACTCGTTTTAAC